AGGTGGGACTGGGAAAGACCCCTGTCTGAGACCTTGGAAAGCCATTGCCCGTAGGTGTAGACCAGGGTGCCCTCCAGTTGCTGTTGGACTCCAACTACCACCATCCCTGTCCCTTGGTAATATCAACTGGAGATGCTGGGAGTTGGTGTCCAACAACATCTGGAGGGTGCAATGTTGGCTACCCCTGATGGAGACAATACTAAGCAAGATGGACCAATGGTTTGGTGGGGTTATGTAGCCTCCTCTATTCCTCTGCCTCCCTTGGAAGGAGAGCCTGCACATTCCTACCCACTTGGAGATTGAGCCTGCCACGTTGAGGTTATTAGCATCATGCCCTGACCACCTGAACTACCTGTGCAACTGGCAGGGATGCACCTAGGGATTGGTCAGGTTGGTCCCCGCCAAGGATGCAGGTCCAAGAGGGCACAAAAATTGTGAAGGACAAGCTGGTGATTGCCAAGGACGCAAGGGATTGGGATGCAGATACTGGTCCTTGCCAAGGGTCCCAGGGAGCCTAGATACACCTCTGAACTGGTTTAGAATTTCCTGAGCAGAAGGTGTGGCTTCCACCTTTGAATCTCAAACCCTCTCCTCTTAGCACAGCTTATGAACGCTGAGAAATAAATAGGCAAAATATGGTGTGCTTTTTAAATCTCCTCTAACTTTTTAATATAAAAAAGTTTTGATTTCTCCATTATTTCCCAAATAAGTGATTTTGCCATAATGAAGTAAAACGGCAACCTTAGCAAATAGCTTTATCACTGGATAAACTCAAAGCCAACGACTACAGAGACTCCTCATAAAACAACTGTTTGAAAGGCTATTTCTTCTCACTTTAATAACTCAGCAGCTTAGCCGAGTTCTTAACAAGTTCCAGTGTTATTAAATAATCCAGCAAGTTACATTATCTGAAATAGAAATCCACATTTCATTAATGCGGAAATGCTGAATGCGACGGGTCCATTTTTCCTTTGCATATTACACCACCAAGTGGATGGAAGAATAAGGAGATAGGAGGCCATTCACCGGCATCCTCTAGAGACACGAATGAGACAGAGGAGCTGCACATTGAGGAAGGTGGCACAACATATGTTTGGTTGGCCATCTCATAACATCTCGCCAGTCGTGAATATATTGCTTCATATGGGTTTCCTTCCTCTGTTTCCAAACAGGGGCTTAATACAAAGCAGGTATTGGGGGACCTTTGGCCTTCCAGATTTTGCTGAACTACAACTCCCATCGTCTGTGGCTACTGGCCATGCTTGCTAGGGCTGATGGGAGGTGTGCTAGATCAACAGATCTCCTGTACTGGTTGGGTTACTGGATTAGCTGATCTTCGAGGTCGCACTAACATTGTGACTCTATGGGCCCAATTCAGGAGACCCTAATTCCTAAGGCAAGCTCTGATTTGGATTCTCTTCTTTTTGCAAAAAAAAGGAAGTCGATTATACAAGATGCAGATTGATGGTAAGCATCCACTGAAAGTGGCAACTCAACCGACAGAATGGCTTCCGTTAATCGCATAACTTCCACGGTGGAAAGACATGTGTATCGGTTATTCATGGCTGCGAGAGAATGAAGCAGGATTACATTCCACGCACCCCACCTCTCCCACCCTTCACAATAATCTCCGTTTCTTCATGGCTAATGACTCGCCGTTTGTTTGCAAATGGGATTTGAAGCTCCATAGTACTCCAACCTAAAATGCGAACAATGAGGATGGGGGGGAAACGCTGGAGAAGAAGTGTATGGAAAAAGGAAGCCTCTCTCTCTCTTTCTCTCTCACAGCAGCCGGTGGTGGAAACAAACCTGCCTGTGCTTTGCTAGGTACGCTTATTGGTATTATTAGAAAAGAGTTTTCCCAACATCCGTAGTTAAAAATGCGCACCTGCAGAACACCTTCAGAACGAATGGCTAAGAATACATTTCCAAATGCTACAGGTGCTTCAGCACTGGGCATTTATTGTCCAACAGCCACACTATGTTCACTCACTCTTTACACGTCATCTGCATGATGTAGGAATGTATCAGGCCTATGGGTGGAAGAACGTGTCAACTTTGGTTTCACTCAGTTTCTCATTTTTCCAGTCTCTAGTTCTCCACATTCCCGTATCAGTTTCCACTTGGGGAAATCCTCATCACTATTTCAGTGTGAATTTATCCTAATAAACACATTTTTGTGTGTAACATTGCCTAATATACACTTTTTTTTTGCAAAGCAGTATCTCCAAAAACAATGCACTTTTCTTTGATATTTTCACTAATATACACATCTTTATGAACACTTTACCCTGGTATATACATTTTTAGTACACATCATTTGAATGGAGAAAAACATTGCAAAATTTGGAGAGGTGCAAATGTTGAAGGACAGCTACTTTTCAGTTCATGCATTGTGTTGAGAAATGTGAAACAGGTAGCTTCTCCTTTAAATGCAAACTTAATCTAATTTCTCTGCCATCCCTGATTCAGGTCGTAACTGTACATTACACAGTGCATCCACCCAGGCCTGCAGAGCTGAAAAGCAACTTGCCTGCTTAGCTATGTAGGCATCTCCTATAGAAATGTCACAAACCTCTAGCTGTGTGTGCAGTCTGCTCCTCCCTGCCACCTGAACACATCACTCTGCAAGTGTCTATCCAGTTCATTGTGGCATAAGCTGTCACAGGCAACGACAGTCTTCATCAAATGCATGTCACATCTGCGACAAAACAGGACCACCAAGCGTTTATCGTGTGCCTTGAAGAACCTTTAGTTGCTCAGAGATTTGCCAGTTTCATTACAAGTCCTGTACAGATCAGTAAGTCCTTGTTCTAAATAAAAATCAATGTGTGATCTTAGCTACCTCTCGCGTAAAGCTAAGTTTGACAAAAGGGGAGGGATGAGAGAGAGAGAGAGAGAGAGAGAGAGAGCGCTCCTGCTTTTCAGCACACAATGTCTTGTTATGCTGCTGTCTGATGAAATCCAAAACCTAGAAAGGCATTATGCTAGTTGTCACCTACAGATATTTAAAATGTATAGATTTCTGCAACAGTGGATTCAGGTTTTGTTGCTGTTGAAAGGAAACCACTGTATACAAAAAGGAGGGGAAAGGGGATTTCGGTCTGGATAAGTATTCCAGCATTATTGTGTTTACATTTGTGGCACTACTTAATGCATTATGTTCAAGTAGACCAGTGAAGATGGCGGGGAAGACGTGGAGCCCTGGTGGATCAAACCAAAAGTCCATCTAGCCCAGTGTATTTTGTTTCCAACAGTGGCCAATCAGATGCCTTCAGGAAGTCTAGAAGCAGATCGTGGAGGCAATATTCCTCTTTTGCTGTTTCTGCCAAGCGACCAGTATTTACTAATACAGGTTGGGTCTGCAACGTTGCAGCGTGAAAAGCTTCTGCTTAAGGTTTCAGCCAGCAACAGTGCCTTCCTGGGAAAATAGGAAGCTGCCTGATAGTGAGTCAGACCACTGGTCCATCTAGCTCAGCATTGCCTACATGGCCCAGCAAAGGTTCTCCAGGGTTTCATAGAGGGAGTCTTTCCCAGCCATACCAGAAGATGCCAGGATTGAACTAGAGACTTTTCGCATGCAAGGCAGATGCTCTGCCTCTGAGTTACAGCCCTTCTCCATAACATGCAATGGGGAACATAGGAAACTGCCTTACACTGAATAAAACCCATTGGAAGTCCAAAGGTTCTCTACCCCTGCTTTAAGCAGATATGGGGTCTCCCACCTGCCCTACTAGCTTGGAACATTTTATGTGGAGTTGCCAGAGATTGAGCCTAGGGCATAGGAGCCAATTCCTAGGGACCGAGGGGGCTTCGCCTTCCCCCAATAAAATATTGCATTGCCATTCAAATGGTCGGCATGCACCATGTCATGTGATCGATTATGCAGGGCAGCCCCGCCCCCCAATATTTTATTCAAGTTGGCACTGCTGCCTTGAGTCTTCTGCATGCAGACTATGTGCACTACCCCTGAGACATCAGCCTTTTTCATCACAAGGCGCTTCTGGGTATGCGCCAAGGAACTCAGTATGATAGTTACCAAAATTCGGGGCAATGTGGTATGATTAATATTAATTAAATTTCTATACCGCCCTTCACCCCAAGATCATAGAGTGGTTTACAATATAAAAATACATGACATACTAACAAACAAACAAAAATAACCTGTTCCCCACAGTTTAAAAGGACATAGATTGCTTAGTTAGTCAAAGGCCTGGGAGAAGAGGAATGCTTTTGCCAGGTGCCTAAAGATATGTAACGAAGGCACACAGGTGAGCAAGGATGAATGGGCTTAAAGGGGCGTGGGATGCAGAAAGTTCATGAAAAGTAAACTGTACACTAGGTTCAATTTATAAAAGTATTTATGAGTTGCCTATTGGCTCAAAAAGAGCCTCCAAGACGACTTATGATTTAAAGACTTTAACCTAAAAACTTTAAAATAATCTGTTCTTATCCAGACGAAAGAGCAAGCAAGCAAACAAGCAAGAACCCACTCTGAAATCTTATCTATTTCCCACAGAATTGATTTGGTAAGACTTGTATTTTGTTTTACACTTTAAAAAAAATTCTCAAAGAAATTTATAATGCACTTATTTCAAGAAAACCGCTTATAAGGCACTTAGAAGTTTTATTACAATCAAAGGGCATACAAATTAAGTACTGTATATAAATTTGAAGTAAATAAATGAAAACACGAATGCACCATATAAATCGCCTACTGTGTGTCCCCACACCCCCTTTTGGAAACCCTAGAGCTTAACTCCTATCCCCAAATCAAGCTTCCTTTCAGTTGCAGTCTGATATGATCATAACCTAGCATTCAGAAAACAAGATTTTAATATATCATTAAAGAACCTCCTTGAAATATGGCAACCCTACAAATTAAAGCTCTTATCAATATGGATAGGCACATATCCATGCAATATAACTGATTATATATAATTTTATATGTTATATAAATATAATTTTAGCCGTCTATCTTATATATAATTGAGTCTCACCTTTGAACAGGGAAGCGGGGAAGAACAAGGCTCAACCGGCGACTGCGCCGCTGTAGTGGCGCGCTGGAGCCGCCAGGGGACACCATTCATCTTCTCAGGCACTTTACTAGTGTCGCTCTCTGCCCCAGTCTCTTCCTTGTCCTTTTTTCTTCCTCCTCTCCCCTTCCCCTTAGATTCGGGCCCATGAGCTAGAATTATAGAAGGGCACACAACTTCGGCTTCCGAGTTCTGTTACTTTTCCCCCCTTTGACTTTATCTAAACTGTTATATGTCACGTTGTCAAAGCGCAACTGGTCTCTGTGGGAACTTTGAGCAGAGCCACTGAAATTAATGGACTAAGTCATGCCCCTTAACTTCAGCGGAGATACTGTGAGTAGGACGAGAGCTGGCTACTGCTACCGTTGCGCGGGGGAGGTGGGGTGGCGGATAAAGGGAAGAGCGAGGCAGGGACATGCGGCTTTTTAAACGGAGCTCCGCCCAAACCCTCGTTTTATCCGTTCGCTTCCTATCCCTTCCTCCGCAGGGGTCGGGGTGCGGGGAGGAGAGAGACGGCTGCCAACGCGAGCGCGGAAACTGCTCATCCGGACAAGGCGTTAGGCCGCTCTTCTGATTATTTCTATATCTGTGCTCCCCTCTCCCTCCGCTTTGTGCTCGGGCCTTCCTCTCACGAGAATAAACGAAGCGCGGCGGGAGGAGGGCGAGACTTGGCGGAAAGAGGGAAGGAGCGTCTCTGCGGCGGCGGCGTCTGCGTTCGGGCCATGGGCAAGAAGCACAAGAAGCACAGGGGGGAGAAGTACCCGTATGAAGGTGCCGCCCCCTCCTTCCTCCCGGGGCCGCTAAATAGGTTGATAATGAGGGGGCGGTGGGTTGTGTGGTGCTGTTGTGTGGTGTGTGTATATGTGTGTGAGAGAGCGTCTGGTGTGTTTGTGGTCCTCCACCGTCCACATCGAAGCCGTGGATCGGGGCGGGAGTCGTTCTGTGAGGGAACCGGATTCTGAGGGGGGTTTTTAGGGGGAAGGGGCCTCCTCCTCCTGTGGGTGGGTGTGGGATATCTTTATCTATTTTATTTTATTGCATTTGTATCTCCCCTTCCCATGAGCTCAAGGTGGCATATACACGGTTCTCTCGCCTTCCTCATTAAAGCCACACAACAACCCTGTGAGGTAGGTCAGGTAGAAGAAAGGTATGAGCTGTGGAGACTCTCACAGGGCACCTGAGGGTCCCCCGCACCCTGTTCCTGCAAGCATTAATTAATTAAACAGTTAATTAATTGAATTAATTTTGCCCCAAAATACGCCCACTCCCACCATTTCGATCTGTGGGTCTGGTGCCACTGCCGGTGCCACAAAATGTCCCACTTGTAGGAAATAAATACTTTCAAGTGTGGGTTGTGCCCTACCCATTGGAACTCCCTGCCTGTTGACGTCAAGCGGTGTCTTGATTGTATCCCTTTTGGCGCACCTTTCTTTGTAAACAGCTTGGAGGGTTGGCTTGTTGTTTTTGCAATCAAGCGGTGCATAATTTTTATGAATGGGAAAAAGAAAAGGAAAAAACATTCGGCCTACCCGGATATGTAGAATGTTGACTGTGCATTTCGATCTGGTTTTGAGCTTATGACACAGTACATAATATAAGATTTATGCAATATTAAAATTGAAGTGATTCTATAAATACAGTTATAAAACTTATGAGAATCTGTATTTCTTATATAATTCTTAACAGTGACAGCATAAAAAGGGAGGAGTAACCAGCAGGATATCTAAAATACAAAGACAGTGAAAAAGTGCAATACCTTCTCTCAAAGATAGCTGTTAATCCTGGCCACCCATAGAAAATGGCAGACTGCCCTAGCTCATCTGTCAGTTGAACTGGGAACTGCACTTACAATTAACTATGTATATATATATTTAAGCCAGCTCCAGAAACCTTTTGAAGTTGTCTTGTTTTAAACTAGCTATAGTTAATGGTCCATTTAACTTGGAAGGATCACCTTGCCCCATATGTGCTTACTTGACTGCTTCAATCTGCAGAGCTTGCACTTCTACAAGTGCCATATAATAATTGTTCTCCATCTGTTAGGAGTTTGTGTTTCAGCACAACAGCACCTGTGCTTTGAAATGTATTGCCTATTAACATTGAGCAGGCACCCTTGCTACACTCCTTGATGCCTACTAAAAATGTTGTTATAACAATTCTATCCACAACTGGACCTAACGGTCAGGAGTACCTTTACCTTTTTATATGTGAACTGGACCATTGTTTTGTGAAGTGATTTGAGCACTTGAAATACTTTGTATCAGGGATGAGGAACCTGCAGCCTTCCAAATTTTTCTAGATTAAATCTCCCATCATCTAGAGCTGATGGGCACTTGGAGTCCGAATAACATTGGGGGGCCCAAAGGTTCTCATCCATGTTCTGTATGAATGCTGAACAAAAGCTTCAAGACTTAGCACTACAGTATCTTCTTAAATGCTATGTTTTAACTTTTCTGTCTCTGACTAGTTCGTTCATTGTAGCATTGCAAAAACCAAGTACAAAGCTGCTCTGTGGCATTCAGATATTAATGGAGCTAAGGTCTACATGAAACTCAGTGGTTGCATGTAGATTGGCTGGCTATACAAAGAAAGATACATTTTTTTCTAGTAACTGACACCATAAAAAATAAGCCTTAGGTCAATATTTTGGGTTCTATATATATATCTTAGCTATATATTATTGGCTACATATTCATCAGTTTAATTGTTAAAAACTTTTGTAACCTGAAGTTGGCTAGCCTATTAGGGTATGTAGTGCAAGTTTATTTGTAATATTTAAACCAAGTCTATTTCCTGTGCTTTTCCTAGAATATGTAGAAAAGCCCTTAAAGCTGGTTTTAAAGGTGGGAGGAAATGAAGTCACGGAACTTTCCACTCAGAGCTCAGTACATGATTCAGCCCTATATGAAGACAAAAATGACCATGAAAAACACAAAGACAAGAAAAGGAAGAAGAGGAAAAAAGCAGAAAAGCAAGTTCCTGGAGAAGAAAAGGAAAAAAGAAAGAGAAAAGGAAAGGTAGCTTTCAGAGCAGTTGTTTTGGTTTCTTAACTTAAATCTTTTCCTTGTGATAGATTGTCTTTGGCAGGCTTCTCCAACCTGGGGTCCTTCAAATGTTTGGGCTGGAGCTGATGGGAGTTGTAGTCCAAAACTTATGGTGGGCACCAGGTTGGTGAAGGTTGGTCTTCAGGATAGTCCTCCTCAATCCTTTGGAAAGACTTGGGATGCGGCATAAAGGGCTGAGTTGGGACTGTGGAATTAAAACATTGGGTAAAGGCACCTTGCACAAGCAGAATTGCATGTGCAGCTTTCCACTTGTGCAAATTTAGCCCACACCTCAAAGTTAAATCACCTCCTTTGCATGCAGAAGGCCCCTTGTTCAGTATTCAATTTTAAAAGGACCAGGTAATGGGAAATACTGTATGCCTAAGACCCTGGAGAACCACTGCTGATCAAGCTAGAGAATACTGGGCTAGATGGGCAACAGGCTGATCTGGTATAAGGCAGCTTCCTATGGAACACATCCTTTAAATATTAATAAGCTTGTCCTGACTTAGTGTGTCTTCCAGTAGGTGGAGACAGCACATAAAGAACATATTTGTAATGTTCCTTGTGTACCTTTAGTATACTTACAATGAATTTCCTCACTGAGTAAACAAATTGTAATCAGATTTCCAGCCACTGGTATGGATACTTCTCTCAACAGTTTTGCTTATATTTTATGTCCACAGGATGATAAAAAGAAGCGAGATAGGGACCGGGGTGAAAGTGAAGGAGAAAGAGAACTGAAATGTCAGACTCCTCTAAGGCTAGACTTGCTACCTGAAAAACCATTGGCAAGCAGTTTGGCAAAACAAGAAGGTAAGAAAAAGCTGTTTTGTTGTTTCTTTTTGAGCTGTTAAGTAAGTTGATTTGTTCTGCCTTGCTTCTCAATTTATGATGTTGGCCACCTTAAGTGCTTTGTTGTTGAAGAGGAAAGCTGGAATACGAATCCTGAAAGTTTTAAAAAAAATTAAGATCAGTCTCAAAATAAGGCTGAAATAGCAGCAACACTGTAGCCATTAGTTCTCCCCGTTACTAACATGTAATTGGCCAAAATCTGAAAAACTGAAGTTTGCTTTCAAATTGTGTGCGGTTTCTTAATAGGCTGAAATGCTTCATGCGCCACTGTTTCTAAAATTAAAATAAATGTATGTTTGAAACTGTGATATGAAAAACTTGAAACAGTCAGGAATACCCCACAAACATGGTCCAAAGAGTTATGGCAAGTGCATCCCATGGCTGGATGGGACACTTCTGTGGTCTTATTCTCTTGATGACAGGGTGATAGTGAGGCACACACCTGTCTTTGGCCATTGAGCCTCCCTGCTGAGCAGGTATGGCCAGAGTTAAAAAGACTGGCTCACTTTCCATCTCAGTTAGCTAAGCTGAAGAAGGGAGAAAGGCAGAAGTTCCAAAGGTGATTGAAGCAGCAGCTCTGAAACAACCCCCTTGCTACGGCATAGGCAGAATTAGAATTGGGGAGCGCACCACCACCTATGGAAGAGGTCTAATTTCTTTGTAGTGTGCATAGTCCTTCCTGTCAGAGCAATTGAGAGAACTAACCAGCTTATGGAACCTCATGCACAGAAAAAGTGTTGTTAACAGGAGAAAGCAACTCTTGATGTGTTTATTACCTTGCACAGCAGTACTTCATTTGAAAATATAGCATTTTCTATTTAGTATTTCTTAGGTGTTGTGTGGGTGTGTGGGTGTGTGCGCGCACGCGCATGCACTCTAGTTAATATTTTTCTTTCATCTTTTTGTCCTAGAAGTGGAACAGACGCCACTTCAAGAAGCATTGAACCAACTTGTGAGGCAACTGCAAAGGTGAGTTCTTCTCAGACTCCGAGCATTTCTGATACTGCTAGTAGAAATTGCTAAAGACTAGAAAATGCTGTCTAATCAATGTGTTAATTTTTCTGAGCTGGATCTTTCTTTCTTTCTTTCTTTCTTTCTTTCTTTCTTTCTTTCTTTCTTTCTTTCTTTCTACATGCATTTGTGTTGCTATTACTATCAGCAACTGTAAAATCTGCCAAGCTAATGCATGTTGAACCCAAGTTCCTGCATCATCTTCCTTTAATAATGGTTTTCACTTTTAATCATTAAATCTTTATTGAAGTGGTTCTAGAAAGTTACTGATAAATGGGTTGTGTTTCAAAAATTGCTTAATCTGTAGTAGTTATGGAATATCTTGTAGCTTTTATGGGATCTTGGTTAGTGGTCTAAGTTTATCTTTCTCCAGAGGGCATTAAGGGTAAAGGGACCCCTGACCATTAGGTCCAGTCGTGACCGACTCTGGGGTTGCGGCACTCATCTCACTTTATTGGCCGAGGGAACCGGCGTACAGCTTCCGGGTCATGTGGCCAGCATGACTAAGCCGCTTCTGGTGAACCAGAGTAGCACACGGAAACGCTGTTTACCTTCCCAACAGAGCAGTTCCTATTTATCTACTTGCACTTTGACGTGCTTTTGAACTGCTAGGTTGGCAGGAGCTGGGACCGAGCAACAGGAGCTCACCCTGTCACAGGGATTCGAACCGCTGACCTTCTGATTGGC